GAAAGTTTCAAATGCGTAGCATGTAGAAAATAAATTGTTCCTATCTAACGAACTGAAAATTTGCAGATCGTGGCACGTGTATTGTACAAATTAAACGAGATGTAAGGGAAAATTCAAGTCTAATTCGAATAAATAATTGTCTCGATTGAATTTTTCGCAGGTGAGAATTTAATCGGTTTGCGAACGTTCAGAAAACAGTAGCGCCACGAAGCGACGAAATCGAAGTACGATTAACTTTGCAATTTTACGCGATCGATGTATCTTCTCTCGCAGTTTAGAAGACTCGCAGACACCACACCGTGGGGAAACAAATCTAAGTAGCTTGAATGTAGCTTGAATGTAGCTTGCAAGAATTTAAATATCATACCACGTACGTACGCACATGTGTAACGATAGCATATCGATTTGACGAATAGAATTTCTAAATCTTTACGCGTACGTCTCTGACAGGTCCGAACCGAAATATGGATAGAAAATCCAGATCGGTCGGAATATCCAATGGCAAAATAATTGACAATAATTATTGAATAAAAATTTCGATAGATTTATGGATAGGTGTAGCGACGTCTATTCCAGCGACACCGTCTGTTTCTCAACCGTCTCGTCAAAGAGTTCATTTTAAATAAATCAACGGCGCCAACTTTGTTAAACTCTCGGAATAAGAAACTATGTAACAATCAATATTTTAACAAAATTACTATGGAGACGTTTGTAAATAATTGTCAAGGATACTTGACAAATTAACGAAGGTATAAATATAATACGAGTTGTGAAATAGATAATCCAGATAGAACGTTGAATGTTGAATATTGAATACATTGTACGTTCTAAAGTCTAGTTATTATTAATTAAAGGTGTATAAATAATTAATTAATTAATTAATTTTATTGTTCAATTAAATATTGTGTATAAAATAAAATTTGTATAGTTATTTAGTACGGTGTAGTACGGTGAATTTATAATTTATCGATCATCGTACCTACAGACGTGTAATAAAGTAATAGTCACGGTACTACAGAGGAAAATTTTATAATTTATTTTAACGTTTACATGATACAGAATTTAATGGATGAATTACGACTGACGACTGACGACTGTTTATTAATTTCTTACTTACTATTATATATATATATATATATATTCTCGGCAATTTGTTTGTAACGTGGTAACCAATAATTTATTGTATTTCCATGGTAACGCTGAGATACTAGCGCCACGTTGTGGCCAATTAGTAGAACGAGATAGAACGAAAATGAAGAATCAAATTTGTTCGAGTTTTTAAAAAAGTTGAGAATTAAGATGCAAAAAATCATCTCCGCGCAATGTTATTCCGATTATTTCCTATTATACGCGATTAACTAACAACAGACATTTACATTGCCTTATTTTCGACGTAATGGTCTGAATAATATCTCCGTCGATAAGCGTAGGTAAAGATAACATTGGCAACAGATGGCACCACCGCGTACCCAAACGTATAATTAGGATCGCAAAAGGAATCATTTCGCATTTCGACTACAGAAGAGACCAATCGAGAAGATTAACCCTTTGCACTCGTATGTCGCCATCCTACATTTTATTATTATACATTATTATATATTTACATTCTATTGTATTACATTCTAAGTGAGGGACTATGAAAAATAATTGCGAGTTGATTGATGGTAACCTTCTAATCCTAAATATAAATACGAGTGCAAAGGGTTAATTGAAGCGAAGTGTCTGTCGCAAGGATTTTCGCGATAGATGAAAATAATCTTTCAATTACTAAATGACACTGCTATACTACTTCGATTCGAAATTTTGATAAAAATTTTTCGCAATTGCAACTGTGAGGCTGTGAGACTGTCAGCTTTTGAAATAGAAAATATACAGCCACGTACGGTGATGTAAATCGACCGCGTAAAACTATAAAACTTGTTGTATATATTTGTAATATTTGTAACACAGAATGATCACCGATCACGCGAGACCGTTTTTCAACGTCCATGAATCGACGTCCATGAATATTCTCATTTGCAAGAAAATCTAATTGAAAGTATCAACTTGTAAACTCAGCAACAACTTGTAACAAGTTGCTTTCAAATTAGATTCGAAGATTAAATTTTTCTCTCTCACGCGTCAGAATTTGCAAATTTTGCGCGATCGCGAAGAAAGAACTCTGCTATGACAGAGTATATATTTAATTTGCACGTGAAATTTCTATTAAAATTGTTTGAAATGAATATACGAGATGTGCGAAATATGTAGTTTCATATACACATAGTGAATTCGAACGTGAATTCGAACTTCATTTAATCGGAGTTACAGGAATTATCAACGGCATTACTGCACGTTCCAAACTATTACTACTCGTGTATAATAATCTAATCGCAA